TCTCTATATATCATCTAACACTGCTGGTGTTTGTGTTCTTCTCTATATATCATCTAACACTGCTGGTGTTTGTGTTCTTCACTATATATCATCTAACACTGCTGGTGTTTGTGTCCTTCACTATATATCATCTTACACTGCTGGTGTTTGTGTTCTTCTCTATATATCATCTAACACTGCTGGTGTTTGTGTTCTTCTCTATATATCATCTAACACTGCTGGTGTTTGTGTTCTTCACTATATATTAGTTAGTTTACCAGTCCTAACACATTATCAGGTTAGTTTTACCTGTCCTAACTAGGGTTGGGTTTTATCCGATACCAGTACCTACTCGGTATTTTTTAAACGGTTCCGGTGCTTAAACGGTTCTTGAAATGGTACTTAAAGGGATAGTTCACCCAAAAATGAAAATTCTGTCAGTAATTACTCACCCTCATGTTGTTCAACCCCGTAAGACCTTCGTTCATCTTCGGAACACGAATTAAGATACGAAGGTCTTACAGGGTTGAACAACATGAGGGTGAGTAATTACTGACAGAATTTTTGGGTGAACTATCCCTTTAAGAAAACAAAACCGCACACACTTTGTCAAAAAATAATACCCTTTTATTTACAGGGCCAAACTGGACACAATATTAACTTAAATCTTTAAACAATATAAATACAAGTAACATGGTAATAATAAATAAACCAATATAAAATAAAAATTCACATTTACATAATATCTAATAAAACAATATTGTATCAAACAATGTAATAATACTGGAGATTAATAGAGATTACTACCAGGGTAATCTAATCTCGACATGGCTACAGGTTCCCATGTTTTGTCTGCTCGAACCAGTCATGTAAGATATCTGGTCGTTGCACTAGAACGGCAGCAGTTGGCGAGTTTGGTATTTCATTCTCACTGCGTCTTAGCTACGCAACGCTGAGTGAACCTATGAAAGAACGTCTCTGGTTACTGATGTAACCTATGTTCTCTGAATAGGGAACGAGACGCTGCGTTCGCTGCCAAACTCCTCGCGCTGCCGACAAGCTTCCTTTTTCGGCAGAGAAATCTGAGGAGCAGATGATGCGCGTGCCAATATAATAAGACGACGTGAGCGTCGAGGCGGCGGCCGCGCCATCAGCCAATGGATTGGCGTGATTCTATATGTGCTTCAGACAATCGGCACATCCAGAGGGCATTCTGACGCGTAATTTTACATGTGAAATGTAGCCAAACCTTGGAGCGTTTTGTCTTCGGCATCTTCATTAATCCCCTCGCAATCAGCAGACGTTCCGGGAGTCTCCCGCATATTGATAACGGCTCCATGATGCCCGCAAATTAGTTAAAATCTCCTGGAATCTAGAGCGAGCGAGCAAGAGCGCGCATGCGAGACAGAACAGACTGTGCTTCAAACAGTATTGTGCGCGAGGAGAGAGAGAGAGCGGGCGAGAGACCTTGCGTGTGTGAGCCTCATGACACAGAGAGTCAGGCACCGAAATCAGGCACCAAAATTTTCGTTCTTATTCGGTCTGGTTACTACCGTTTACGTCGGAACCGGTTCCCTATTGGCACCGCGTTTCGGTACCCAACCCTAGTCCTAACACATTATCAGGTTAGTTTACCAGTCCTAACACTTATCAGGTTAGTTTACCAGTCCTAACACTTATCAGGTTAGTTTACCAGTCCTAACACATTATCAGGTTAGTTTACCAGTCCTAACACTTATCAGGTTAGTTTACCAGTCCTAACACTTATCAGGTTAGTTTACCAGTCCTAACACTTATCAGGTTAGTTTACCAGTCCTAACACATTATCAGGTTAGTTTACCAGTCCTAACACTTATCAGGTTAGTTTACCAGTCCTAACACATTATCAGGTTAGTTTACCAGTCCTAACAGATTATCAGGTTAGTTTTACCTGTCCTAACACATTATCAGGTTAGTTTACCAGTCCTAACACTTATCAGGTTAGTTTACCAGTCCTAACAGATTATCAGGTTAGTTTTACCTGTCCTAACACATTATCAGGTTAGTTTACCAGTCCTAACACATTATCAGGTTAGTTTACCAGTCCTAACAGATTATCAGGTTAGTTTACCAGTCCTAACACATTATCAGGTAAGTTTACCAGTCCTAACAGATTATCAGGTTAGTTTTACCAGTCCTAACACATTATCAGGTTAGTTTACCAGTCCTAACACATTATCAGGTTAGTTTACCAGTCCTAACAGATTATCAGGTTAGTTTTACCTGTCCTAACACATTATCAGGTTAGTTTACCAGTCCTAACACTTATCAGGTTAGTTTACCAGTCCTAACACTTATCAGGTTAGTTTACCAGTCCTAACACTTATCAGGTTAGTTTACCAGTCCTAACACATTATCAGGTTAGTTTACCAGTCCTAACACTTATCTTATCAGGTTAGTTTACCAGTCCTAACACTTATCAGGTTAGTTTACCAGTCCTAACAGATTATCAGGTTAGTTTTACCTGTCCTAACACATTATCAGGTTAGTTTACCAGTCCTAACACATTATCAGGTTAGTTTACCTGTTCTAACACATTATCAGGTTAGTTTACCAGTCCTAACACATTATCAGGTTAGTTTACCAGTCCTAACAGATTATCAGGTTAGTTTTACCTGTCCTAACACATTATCAGGTTAGTTTACCTGTTCTAACACATTATCAGGTTAGTTTACCAGTCCTAACACATTATCAGGTTAGTTTACCAGTCCTGACAGATTATCAGGTTAGTTTACCTGTTCTAACACATTATCAGGTTAGTTTACCAGTCCTAACACATTATCAGGTTAGTTTACCTGTCCTAACACATTATCAGGTTAGTTTACCTGTCCTAACACATTATCAGGTTAGTTTACCTGTCCTAACACATTATCAGGTTAGTTTACCTGTCCTAACACATTATCAGGTTAGTTTACCTGTCCTAACACATTATCAGGTTAGTTTACCAGTCCTGACACATTATCAGGTTAGTTTACCAGTCCTGACAGATTATCAGGTTAGTTTTACCAGTCCTAACACATTATCAGGTTAGTTTACCAGTCCTAACACATTATCAGGTTAGTTTACCAGTCCTGACAGATTATCAGGTTAGTTTTACCAGTCCTAACACATTATCAGGTTAGTTTACCAGTCCTAACAGATTATCAGGTTAGTTTTACCAGTCCTAACACATTATCAGGTTAGTTTACCAGTCCTAACACATTATCAGGTTAGTTTTACCAGTCCTGACACATTATCAGGTTAGTTTACCAGTCCTAACACATTATCAGGTTAGTTTTACCAGTCCTAACACATTATCAGGTTAGTTTACCAGTCCTAACACATTATCAGGTTAGTTTACCAGTCCTAACACATTATCAGGTTAGTTTACCAGTCCTGACAGATTATCAGGTTAGTTTTACCAGTCCTAACACATTATCAGGTTAGTTTACCAGTCCTAACAGATTATCAGGTTAGTTTTACCAGTCCTAACACATTATCAGGTTAGTTTACCAGTCCTAACACATTATCAGGTTAGTTTTACCAGTCCTGACACATTATCAGGTTAGTTTACCAGTCCTAACACATTATCAGGTTAGTTTTACCAGTCCTAACACATTATCAGGTTAGTTTACCTGTCCTAACACCAGGGCCGGATTAACCATTAGGGCAACTGGGCACTTGCCCAGGGGCCCATGACATCTAAGGGGCCCTGGGCACCAGGGGCGGAGTGGCAATCGGGAGAGTCGGGAGTTTCCCCGGTGGGCCGGTAGTGTTTCGAGGCCGCGAGGGCCGGTCTGATAAAATGTATTCATTGCAAGTTCGCCATGCGCACTTGTGGCCCAAGCGAGGGGAAGAAAAAAAAAATTTTAGATAACGGAGCGTATATTTGCACTAAGTGCCTGTCTTTTTTACCAAAAAGACGCCCGTCACGGAATAGCTACAGTGGCGTAGGTCGTAGCGCGCGAACTGCTTGATAATAGCTTTTGATGCGCTCGACCCGAGTTCGAATCCGCCTTTTGCCGAACTCTCTCTTCTCCCTTTTCCCAACACATATGAGATGTAAAATGTATAACCTAACATAAAGGTCTCTAGCGTTATATTTTGCCAACGAAATAAAATCGAAACCATGATATGGCTTTGTACCTTTATAAAACAGCACAAGACTTTAAGAATAGGCATCCTGTGTGTGCTGGGTGATTTAAAGAAAAGTGCGCTCTTTGCTCACGCGATCAGCATGGCTATCTGGTGTTTTCTCCTAAATAAAAGCTCAAGGGTTTCTTGCAAGTGAAGAAATTAGGACAAAAGTATTTTAATTTTCCTGTATTATAGTGTAATGTAGACTAAAATATACTTTTGAAATATTCATTTTCATTTATAGTACATTTATAGGCTATACGGATTTTACGTCATAGGAATAATTATATAAATCATTATTACATTATTATAATAATTGTTTGGAATCCTAAAACACCATTGATAATGTAATGTAGACTGAGACTCTCATAACTAAAAAGATGTTTGAGCCCTCTTTATTGTCCTGGTACAAATCAATGCTTTTTCTTTGCTCAACGAGCAGTTCATGGGTTGAAGCTCTTAATTTTGATCTCTCAAAGAGCACGAGATTGATGCATTTAACCTTAAAATGTACAAAATTTTCTTGCGGGGGAGCATGCCCCCGAACCCCCCTAGAGGCACAGAGGTCCACCCAACATAGTTTTACAAAATCCTATGTGAAAGAACGACCATTTAGGAACTTTACTCCAGCATAGTACAACAAAGTTCCTTTTAAGCCAGTAAAACTGTAAATGCCATATTAAAATGTCCTTGGGCAAAATATACATTTGGCCTGCCTAAGAGGGGGCCTACAAGACATTGTGCCCAGGGCCCTCTGAACTCTTAATCCGGCCCTGCCTAACACATTATCAGGTTAGTTTAACTGTTCTAACACTTTATCAGGTTAGTTTTACCAGTCCTCCTGAGAGATTATCGGGTTAGTTTACCTGTCTTTGTGTTTCACCAGGAGCTGGTGGAGTTTCTCGGTCTCTCCACAGCTGTACAGATAATCTGCTTGTTCTAAAACTTCTTCAGCTGGAAAAAAAGATGTCGTAAAAATAATAATAAACAGCAGCACTAAGACTTAAAGCTCAATATTGCATAAGTACCTGATTCCAGCGCACAAACCGAGGCGAACCGAGTGACTCTGTCATAGATCAGGAATGACAGTGGAGTTAAAGCCACGAGGAATGAAGCTGTTCTGTTCTGACAGTCACAAAACACACAAAATATTAATAACCATCATAAATGACAGTATGACTCACAGCTTATTTGCTCTTTCATGCACAACCTCGTTCTCTCTCACACACACACACACTCACACTCACACTCATGTTCTACATGTGATCCTCATAATAACACTTCTAAAGGCAGATCTTACTGAAGTTCTGATGCGATCAGTCCAAATGCGCTCATTCATCCTCCTCATCCTCACGGTTCTGCTCACTAACCGCCTGAAAGCTCCACACACCCTCGCGGACGCCATCAGTGTGAGAGAACAGAGTGTGTTCTGCGTGTTTCGAGTTCTGGTTCTCAGTTCGGCTAATAAGGCTAAAGTTTGCGAGTCTGTTCCTCCAGCCGGCGCGCTGTCAACACGCACTGCCGTAAATGATTCGCACTTGTCGCAAAATAGTCTTTGACTCTAATAAAAAGCTATCATGTTCTATGTTAAAATCTAAGCACACGAAGACAATAAAAAAGATACATATTATAGAGAAGCCGAGCGAGAGGGGCGTTACACTGTACAATGAAACACGTGACGCAAACGTGTGAGAGTGAGAGAGAGAGATTGTGTGTGTGTGTGTGTGTGAGAGAGAGAGAGAGAGAGAGAGAGAGAGAGAGAGAGAGAGAGAGAGAGAGAGAGAGAGAGAGAGAGAGAGAGAGAGAGAGAGAGAGGAGAGTGTGTGTGTGTGTGTGTGAGAGAGAGAGAGAGAGAGAGAGAGAGAGAGAGAGAGAGAGAGAGAGAGAGAGAGAGAGAGAGAGAGAGAGAGAGAGAGTGTGTGTGTGTGTGTGTGTGTGTGAGAGAGAGTGTTCATTAGGGTGTGTCTGCTCTCAGAATCTCCGGCGACTCATTCTCTACTGAAGCTCCTCCACTGAAGACTCATTTGACAGCATGTGAGTAACTCTAATGATTGTGATCAACAATTAAGCAAAGCATTTGGATAATTATTAAGTAACGCTGGCCTCTTAACCCTTATACAGAAGAACACGCTGAAAAACTAAGACAATTTATGTAAACGTTAAATATGTTAACATCGACGCCTTTTGTCTTTGTAAACTATGACCTTAAACGTCCGAAGTCATTTTTCCAGCAGAAATGCTTCATGACTGTTTACATGTAGTTTTCCAGCGTTGGGCCAATCACAGTCGTTTGTGGTGGTGGTTTGTCCAATAGGCGCAGAGAACGACGAGGCGCTGAGAATGAGGAAGTGTGAACTGTGAAAGTTGAAATATAACAATCATATTCATTATTTCTGAAGTAGTTGATACCCAGGTGTGTTTGTGTTCAGTGTGTGAGAATGGATCCTCTGTCAGCAGCGCAGACGCGGTTCTCCCTCGACCTGTTCCAGAGAATCCGTGAAGGAAACGCGTCAGGGAATGTGTTTTATTCTCCTCTCAGCATCTCTGCGGCTCTCTCGATGCTGTCGCTCGGGGCTGGAGGACACACGGCTGCTCAGATGAGCCGGGTGAGGGACACACACACACACACACACACACAGGCTGGAGGACACACGGCTGCTCAGATGAGCCGGGTGAGGGACACACACACACACACACACACACACACACACACACACACACACACACACACACACACAGCAGAATACACACACACACACACACAGCAGAATACACACACACACAGCAGAATACACACACACACACACAGCAGAATACACACACACACACACACACACAGCAGAATAAAGGAAGCAAAGACTCTGGCCTGTTGGTAATGTGTGTAGGGTCGCTGGTAAATCACGTGACGCAGTGTTTGCTCTTGGAGGATCCGCTTCTCCCAGTGTACTTTGACTCCAGTGATGATGAGCTGTGTGTGTGTGTGTGTGTGTGTGTGTGTCTGTGAGTCACTATTACCACAGAAGAATAGTTTAATTGCAGTAAATTGTTATGAAATGTTCTGTTATCAGCTCAGGGTGTGTCAATCAAGTCATAATGAGAGAAGCAATGTCCAACTTTTTTAGATGAATTAACATATTGACTAATTTGAATGGATAGAAAGAATGACAGTTGAAACATTAATTTGTTTGATTAAATGGTTAAATGATTTTGATTAAATAATGTTGATCACAATTTCATAAACTGATTAAAGCTCCGTCTGTGAACTGAAGAAACCATATTTATGCTTCCATATCATCTGATTTCTCAGTGTTCCTACAGAATAATCACATCTGCAACTGATCCTCTGTTTCTCTCCAGACTTTGCAT